GCAGAGGGTTTCTTGCATTGTATCGGAAGCAAGATTATCGGGTTTTTAATCCGAACATGATTTTTTTATCGATCCGTATCCGATCAGATAATCCAAAAAAAATTCGGATACTCGATCCGAACTATCCGAAAATTGAAAAACAGATCAGATATCCGAATTTTTGGATAGGATCAACGGATCAATGGATCGGATCAGTCGGATCGGATTTTTTTGCACACTCCTATTCAAAATAGCATATGATGAATATATGGATGAAAAAAATTCTTGTATTTTAGTAAAATTAAAATAATTTTATTACACCTTTCGTTGAGGATGGACATTGGTCGAGGTTTTGGTTAATCCGATTTGAACTCGACCCGATTTTTTGAAATAAAATCTAAACCTGTTTTGAAATTATATATTTATAAAAATATTATTTTTATTCAATAAAAATAGAAATTTAATTGAAAAAAATAATATATAGAGGGGTATTATTGTAATTATTTTTAAATATATAAGGTAAAATTATATTTTTTTCGGGTTGGGTTCGATATTTTTCACCCTAAACTCAAACCCGACCTGACCCAAACATAACTTTTAAAAAAAATTCAACCTGATTGGGTCGGGTTGGAACTTATCAGGTTCGGGTATCTTGCATATCCCTACTTCCATCACTCATAAATTTCTTCTTAAGGTTGCTCATAACGAATTTATTCTCTTATTTTCCCTTCTCTAGAGACACTCTTAAAGAATTTATTTTCACCGTCAACATAAATATTGATTAATTAGTAACTCTCCGCTCATATTAAAAGGAACGACCATAAATCATCGGTTTGATCATCTCATTTCTCATCATATTAACTATCAACTCGCTTACTATAAATCGGTAAAATTATTTATACATAATAAAAAATATAATTAAGAGACAAAAGAAAAAAAAACGAATAGTAATCTACAAAATTAGTAGGTTAAATCCTATGCAAATATCGTTTTGTTTATTATATAATTTTATAGCATAGCACGAGAAATCCTATGCAAGTTGGGACATAGGGAGCATCAACATGTGTTTAATAAAGCCTTTGGCTCAATCAATCTAAGTACTCCACACACGCACGAGAATTGTGTACTACGCATTTTGTACGAATATCGTAATTTTATTATGTTTTCTGGTCTTTTCATTTTATAAAATTTATATTTTTTAATGTTTTATTTTACGGTAAAAAACTTTTGTAGATGAGATTTATTATTGACTGACAATCGATATTTTTACCAACTAAACAGATTTAATTTGATCCAAATACCGACGTAGCATGTTCATGTGTGAAAAAAATATGATAACGTAAAATAATGTCACGTCAACAAAAATATTTTTTAAAATGTAATCATAAATATGGGTTATCATTTGATTCGTTTAAGAACTTAAAGAAATAAGAAAATTTTAGAAGTGTAGGGTCAGAGCTTGCCTCTAGCATATGAAAGATCAATTCCCAACGACCAGGCCAACCTATTATCAACCTAAGTGTTGCTTTCATAATTATATCAACTCCGGTGATAGATGGCCACATAAATGACGTTTTTTCATATATTAAGACAAGAAAATAATCTATATCAGACTCGTTTTAGGATACACTTATATTATTCATTGATTTACTAATTTAGATCATGTTTTGTACGGATTTATTATGAGAACGACCTTTCTAATTTAGTAATATTGTTTAAAGAATCTGTTGAATTATGTTTCGATATAACAAATTTAAGGCAAAATGTTTTTGGATTTGAATTGAATTTATTCAAAATGTTTTTGGACTTGAATTAAATTTATTCAAAGTTTTAAAAATGTTTCAAAAATAATTCAAAGTCCATTAAATTCGGATTTGAGCCAAAATGCTAATGGGTGTCAAAAGGTATCCATACACCCTGCAATGTGGATATACACCCTGCAGGTGTATCCATACGCCTGTGACTGCTCAAACACCGAATGCAAATAATGTATCAATACACCTATGAGTGTATCCATACACTAGTGTATCGATACATCCTGCAATGTATCCATACACCCTGGCTGCAACTGCTAGTAACAGCTAGTTTATTTGAATTTAATGAAGGGGTACCGATACACCTTGATAGTGTACCGATACATCATGTTATGGGCAGCCTTGTTTTGTAGAAAAATCATCCCCAAACGACTCTAAAACATCCCCAACGACTAGATAAGACTTCAAACACATTCCAAGCTATAAATACAAGCTAAGGACACTTGAAGAAATATGAGAACAATTATCCAAGCAATCAAACACAAGAGAAGAACTTTTTATTCTTATTTTCCTTTCTCTTGTAAATATTTGTTCTTGTGAGCTTAATTCTTGTAAGCACCTACCTTTGAGAGGTTTATTTGTTTACTTCTTTTATCTTTTTGTTAAGGGGAAATGTTCTAGTTAAGCCTATGTAAAGGCTAGGGAAAGGTTCTAGTTTATCCTGTGAAAAACTAGGGAGTTGTAAAGATTATCTCTTTGTCCTTAAAAAGAAAGAACAAATTAGTGAATTTGTTGGAAAATCCTTGGTGAGGAGCTAAGGTAGTGGATGTAGACTTGGTTGAGAAGTCAAACCACTCTAAATCGCTGTGCAATTCTCTATCTTTCGATCTCCTTACTCCCTAAACACAAAAATCATTCCGACTCCTCTTTGCAAACCGTTCCGGTTGTCGATACGAGTTTCCACAAATCCCAACAGAATCTAATGTCTCATCCCATTATACTAACTACTTGTCGATAAAATCAAATTAACAAAGCTCTCGTATACTCTGATTTTTTAAATATATTTTGTTTGTTTACTATATATTAAATGATTTTCTAGAAGTAAAAGTAAAAAACAAAACATTCACATGCCATTGCTTAGAGTTTCAATGAAGAATTTGTGGTGTTGGGAGAGTTTGGTGGGGGAGAGCTTGATCGGCCTAACTTGGTCTCTGGTTTGGTTCAAGTATGTAAAACTACTACATGACCCATGCTTTGAACCATGTTAGTCTAAATCCACATTCGAATTCATTAGTTTCGTAGTGCACTTTTGCTGGTGGAGTATCCAAATGTCTGCTATAGTTGCTCGTTCCATTTCGTAGTGCATTCAGGGAAAAACAGATGTCGAATTTCACTTATTTTAGTTCGAACTTTTCCGAAATCGTATCCGTTTGTAGGTTTATTCATGGCACTTCAGCTAAGGATAATTGTCTTTGGAAAGACGACCGCGTTCTTTTCCATGGCAGTCCGACTCGTCATGGCAGCTGCCTTGATCACTGTCGGATTAAGAGGTGTTCTTCTCGGCATTGCTATCATGCAGGTAATATTAGTTTCCGGTGACTGTATATCTACCCTTAAAAAAGTATACATTGAATCGGAGATCGGAATCGTTTCAAGTTTCAGGCAGCTCTTCCATAAGGCATCGTCCCTTTTGTCTTTGCCGAGGTATACAATGTTCATCCTGATATATTAAGCGCAGGGTAAGTATTAATGTTCAATGTGTGTTATTTTGGGATTCTTAAAAATTGGTCGAATTTTAGTTTTAGTTCCTCTACTACGCTGAAATGAATGATTTTCATTCATAATTCCATTCAAGGTCATATTTGGGATGCTGATTGCCCTTGCTAAACTGCATTATACTGGGACCTTGAAGCTTGAGAAATGGAAAGATGAAGGACTAATAGGCAATTAAGCCATCATTTTGTAAAATGGAATTTGGTTTTGCAAAACCAGAGAATGATAAAGGAATGAGTATACATCATTGCCAAAAATACGTCCACTACAAATATATATATTTACAAATGCAAAGATGGTTTATTTAGACTAGATCACGAATCCTCGTTACATAAATTGCATATTTCGCCACACAACCTATGCTATTCGTCACAAACATTAGAACCAATCAAACAACATTGCAAAGAGAGAAAAAAAAGAGTAAAGATGGAAAATTTGTTAATTAGAAGTTCTATCAAATCCATGTTTTTAACCTTCAAACACTGATTCATTCTTCGCAACCCATCAAACTTCAATCAAGTCGTAGAAAAATAGAAAGAGCAGCATTCGCATCAATTGATTTTCTGCTACCATACACTGTTACATTGATGATAACAACTGTTTCAATATGATGCCATAAGAGGAGAAATCAAGTGATTATTATTTAAATTCATAAATCAAGTGAGATATTCAGGAAATAAGAATTATAAGTATTTCTGTACTTTTGAAGGAAAGCATTTACCAAGGAAACTGTCTTATTGAATCTAAAAATAACCGTATGCTGCGATATACGTGTATATATATATGCTTACTTGATTCAGGTCATTCGAAGATAGAAATTGAAGAATTGCCTTGATCTTTTATGGAATTTTCCACTTCCTCGGTGAGATTCTACATTTAATAATCCTTGAGAGAAGTTAATAACATTTATGAAAGAGAAAAGAAGAAAAAGAAATTAAAATGAATTTAGACTTACTTGGGTGTTAGAAGTGGAAGGATTGCTTTGATCTTCTTCAGGATTTTCATCTTCAGGATTTTCATCTTCAGGATTTTCATCTTCAGGATTTTCATCTTCAGGATTTTCATCTTCAGGATTTTCATCTTCAGGATTTTCATCTTCAGGATTTTCAACTTCAGAATTTTCATCTTCAGGATTTTCATCTTCAGAATTTTCATCTTTAGGATTTTCATCTTTAGGATTTTCATCTTCAGAATTTTCATCTTCAGGATTTTCACCTTCCTCGATCATTCCATGCTGTTATGATCATCAAGTGAATAACATAATTAAATATATATTTCTATGCTACCGTGTTTACTCGTAGATTTATATTAGATTTATGTTGTTATGAAAAGTATTATATTTACCAAGAGATTAAAAATTCTGCAGTATTTACTAAGTTTATATTGACAAGTATCAATTAATGTGTATATATTGTTTGTAGTGAGTGGAATGCAAATCCAATTACAAGAACATTTGTAAAATAGTAAACGAAAAGGAAATTTGAGAAAACACACCTTTTGTCTGAATAACTGCTGTATGGTGCTGTTAAGGCTGCCTTCCCAATGTACTTCTTCTCTTCCCCATAGACTCCATTCCTTGCTTATTTGTACTTTGTTTGGAGTGTTTGAGTGTCCTAGAGAGAACATCTTCATCTTCGGGCAATTATCTACAACTAGAATTTCCAAGGATGGGAATGAAAAAGTATAATTCCCTGATGAGCAGAAGCTTTCTAGCTTTCGTAGATTATCAAGTTCCAAACGGTTGAGTTGGGGGAAACTAATTTCATCATCATCATCGTCCCCACCTTGAATTATCTCCTCTATATTTCCGCAAAAGGATATACTCATTTGTTTGAGCTGCACTAGACTTTTGGCTGTGGGATGTGTAATTAATTTTATGATTCCATCACATCCATATACTTTCAAAGTCACCAGATTTCGAAAAGATACCGATGATGGAACTAGATTACCTTTTAAATTATCGCACCTGACAACATCCAAAATCCTTAGATTTGGGAATCCTTCCTTTTCCTTCCATAGATGCATCAATGCGAGAAGAAAGTTCAGCCTTAATTCAGTTATCTGAGAGAGTAGCAGCGATGCAGGCTTTTCCTCACCACCTTCTTCACTTTGGAATACCATCTCTTTAAAATCAGACGACCCTATTTCGAGTGTTTGAAGATTGGGTAAGGCTAATAACGGGAACAAGTAAGATGGCAATAATTGCTTATGATGCTCCCCAAGTTTGATGACTTTTAGGTTGCCAAAGTAATGAGACAAAAGTTGCTGTTGTTGTTGGCCTTCACAATGACATATGATGTCTTTCGTTCCAGCATTCTCTCCCAAAGTGAGTTGATGTAGATTTGGAAACGTACACTGCACAATTCCCCATTGTTTCGTTAACAACAAACACCCTATATCATGTTTTGTATTTTCAATATCATCTTTCAAAGAGAAGGTTGGAAGATGAGTAAATAGAATGCATGTGATTTTACGGATAGGAAATATCTATATATTTATGCATACCTTTTCATGGAAGATATATGGTACCACTTCTCTGCTCTTTCCATTATAAAAAACGAATGCGTTCAAATCAGAGCATCCAGTTATTGTTAAATCCCTTAGCGAGGGAAACTCAATCGGATTAATTCCAAAGCAAAATCCTTTCAGTTTTGGAAGAAAAATGAGTTCCAAATTGTCTAGTTTAGGGAACACACTTATTCTTCCAATCCTTTCTTCTTCGGTTGCCTCTAATATTCCCTCTGTTACCCATTCCATTTCATTACAAAATGAAACCTGAAGTGTTTTCAGATGCACAAAGCTTTTAACCATGGATGAAGTAAATATATACTTCAACTTATGGCATCGGTACACTACCAAACTTTTTAAACTTTGAACACCAAAAGACATTAATGGAAATTGAACATCAATATGCCATATTTTCTCAATGCCACCTATTGAGCTCAAGTACAACTCTTCCAAGGCAGGACACGAAACCTGCAAATATATAAAACTCATGTTTCATATTCCATCATGAATAATTCTTTCTTAATTACTTATTATCATTCAAAAATATAAAGGGGAAAAAACGATAAGACATCAAAATAAAAAAGAAAAATTGATGGATGCCATAATTAATAGATGAAAAAAAAAAGATGAATAGAAATACCTTTTTAACAAAAAGCCATGTGACGGATTGAAATGTGTTTTCTATATACCACAAGCCATTCAGTCTATACAACTTCAAGATGCGTAATTTATCAAGTTTCAAAGTGTCATTCTCTCTAATCTCTTCCTTTTCAACAATTAATGCCTTCATATTGGTGCAATTGGATACCTCAAGTTCTTCGAGTTGGTGAAGTCTTTTCGCTATGGAGAATGAGAACAAATTCTTCAACATATTGCAATTCTCGACTTTTATGAATCTTAATTGCTCAAAAGATTCAGCATTTAGATCGCAAAGCCTTTCCACAACATCTTTCCATCCATGCAGATATAGACTTTCAATTTTTCTGGACAACAATTTATATATGCCTTCAACCAAATCAATACTTTTATTAATCTCCAGCTTCAACATTCTTGATGTTTCCATCCCTCTGTCATCATAAGAATCCCACTTCTTATCTCCGATTGAAATCTTGAACCTTCCCATCTTTTCGAGAAACAAGTATTCCTTTGGTATAGCTTCCGCATTAGGAATATGTACTTCCAAAGTTGCTAGACGAGACAAATGCTGCAACTCCATAAGACTAGCTTTGCTTCTTGGATTCTCAATTCCCTCAATCTCCCATCCATCAAAGCTATTGTATAGGTATAGTTCTTCTAATTTGGATAACTTTGACAACACATTTGGCGATATTAATTTAAGGAAGACGCAACTACTCAAGTCTAATAATTTTAGCTTGGTCAAATGTCCTATCTCCTTTGGTAGCATATCCATTCTAGATCTACGGAGATCAAGGATTTCCAAATTTTCCAACTCTCCTAAGATGACTATATCTTCTACATCACAGCCTATCAAACGCAATGTACAGAGAGTTTTCAAGAAACCAAGGGAGGATGGTAAAGTTGTAAAATTTGTTCCAGTAAATTCCAAGACATTGAGTCTTTGCATTCCCTTGAAAAAGGGATTAGGAACTTCCACAGAGCCATGCATGGAGAAAAATGTAAGGTTTGGACATTCCAACTCATCCGGGAGCTGACTAACCTTAGCATATTTTAAGCTAACAAGATGAGAGTTTCTCATTGTATCCTCCCACTCTTCAAATACATCTTCCTTTCCTAAAGCAAGCCAACGACGGTCGTCCCTAGAAGCAATTGAAATGGCAATATCGCGGACAACATCATGCATATCAAAGCTTTCTGGTGTAGAACCAGCAAGTAACAGGGAAGAGTCTCTGAGCTCGTTAACCAGTGTCAACACTCTGTTGCGCACTTTTTCCATCGTGCCAAGGCCATGAAATAAACCCAAGCCCCAACAATATTTCAGCAAGTCTTCGAAGACAGCATTATGGCCCATTATACAGCAGAGCAAGAAAGTGTATTTAAGTTCCTCCCTTTCCAAATATCTGTAGCTCATCTCTATGGCTGAATATGCTTCAGCTGTTATGCCTTCGGAGTTTATTTCAGAGGGTTTTAGCTGCTCCAGAGCATCCTTCCATTCATATAAATTCTCTTTATGTTTCAAAGCCTTTGCAACTGTTGTAATAGCGAGTGGCAGTCCTGCACATTTTTTGGACACTTTCATTGCTGTAGATTGCAAGTCAGATCTTTCAGCGATAGGACCAGCCGCGTACTTAAACAGATTCCATGCTTCATCTTCTTTCAGTACATCAATTGGAAGTCTTTTTTGAGAACCCATCGACTTCAATACAAATAGCTTCCTTGAAGTTATTAAGATCTTGCATCCCTTGTGTTGGTCTGCTGAAGGAATTCCGAGTGCCCTGATATCCAGGAACTTCCAAATATCATCCAAAATAACAAGAACCCTGTTCTCTTTCCCTAGTCTTTCACGAAGTCGAGCGGCTCTCACATCTATGTTGTTCTCGCTGATTGTCATGCCTAGCTTCTCAGCAATCTCCTCCTGGATCTTCTGCATGTCTGGTGTTTGCTTTATTGTAAGCAATACCACTTCGCTAAAAAGCTGTCTCTCGTTGGCTTTTCCAGCGACCTCTTTGACGAGTGTGGTTTTACCCACACCCCCCATACCGTACACTCCGATTATGCTGACTCTATCATCTTCCAATGCAATCATGATCTCATCGAAAGCGTGGTTTCTTGATTCGAAGGCCTCGTACTCTTCGACAGGTCTGATAGTGTCTATCGCTTCAATTGCAGGAAGGTAGGAAACTCCATCAAAGTTTTCCTTTTGGATCAAGAGTTGAGCTATGGCATTAGCCTCCTTGTCCGCTTTCTTGCTAAGTTGGTAACTGGACTTGAAATCAGGGCAAAATCCAGCAAAACACCTCTTCATTGCTTTCTCTTCATCCTTTTGCAATTGTGTTGCAGCATCCTCGGAGATCTTCTCATTCACCGCTTCCAACCAACTTTGAACATTCACAAAAATCACCTCCCCATTCCTGTTAGACGCTTCAACAGATTGTTGCACCCTTTCTCTTTCATCCTTTAGGTCTTGAACTTTTCTCCGGAGGTTCTGAAACTTGCTTCTGGGCTTGAATACGTAACTAAGTTGTCGTGCAGTGGGATAAACAGCATACTCAACAGCTTTGCCAACAAGAGATCCGACAATGCCAACAAGAACGTCCATTTTTCCCTTGAAAATTTGCTAAGAAGCAGAACAAACTATAGAACGACGGGGGAGTAAATCCTTAGCAACAGAACAGTCGCTGCAGAGAAAACAACAACATATTGGATAATGAGATGCGTACTTGAAACAGTGGAGTAAATATGATAATCAAAGATGAAAACAGTGTGAAACAAAGCATACCTCCTCTTTTGGATATCCAAAGCAAGATAGTAATGAGCTTTAGAGTTTGATATCTTCCTATTCCAACTTTGAGAGAGAGAAAAGAAAACACAGGAACAAACAACCAAGTTGGAAAATAATGGTGGACAGATGTGCAAGTTAATTGTTTAAACTATGTTATTTGTTCATGCCTGCTTATTGCATACTTTTGTTTTCTTTCTCGACAAAAGCATCTTTGACTACATCTGGGTTTGGAGATTTAAAACCAAATAATTTATCTGTACATTGTTTATTTCAAGTGGGACAAAAGCCTTGAAGACCAAAAAATTCAGATTGATTCCATATATTATATGATAAAGTTGGCAAAGATTATTATTATTTTTTTGCACGGCAAGATAATATTTTATTAGAATATACAATTTAAATCTAATAGGGCTTAAGGACAAGCACTAATCCACTAGCACAATACAGAATTAACCCACAACAAAAACAAAATATACCATAGAGAATCAAACTATACCTCCATACCATGGTCATATGCTTCTACCACCATGCTCTAAACATATCTGATTTCTTTCTTCCACCTTTTTTCAGCCATATCATTACAATGCCGAGCAACAAAAACAAAACGGATACACTCAATTTGACAAGCAAACTTATCAAAATTAATAAAAAAAATTATAAAACATCCATGGCCTCTAACTTCAATTAGTGACTCATGCACTGCAACTTGCGAATTCAACTTCACTACAAGACCATATCGATCATCTTTCCCAATTCAATAAACATCTCCAAAGCCATTTTCATGGCTAGCACTCCAGAGATTATTATAGTATGTATGATACAAGGGGAAAGATCTCTTAATCACCATTTCAATGAAAGACAATTTACAGTATGGATTTCAAGATTGATACTCCTTAAGATTGGACAAGGCATAGAGATCTAAATATGTCAAATTTGGAAATTCAAATATAATAACATCCCAACGAATGAATTGAATTGTGGAGAAAGTGATTGCATAGCACGACAGAATTCACCAAAACAATGGAAGGAAGGCATTTTAAGCCCACCACACCTTCCATCCTTTAAATTTTTGGTCTAACACTTGTCTGAAACCCCTTAACTGTAGATAAGTTATGAATTTAGTCCCTAAACTATAATTTAAGTAAATAAAGAACTTCAAAGATTAAAACTTGCTTCATTGCTCATAACCTTTGAAGGTAGCACAAGTTCAAAAATCAAAAGTTTATTACAAATATTTAAGTAAATAAAGAATAAATGGACAAAAGCAAATTCAAACAAGACATAATGTTTTTCGTGCCAAGTACAACAAAGATTCATGGTGGATGCAGTAACCTTTCCTTGATTCGCATTTGAATGCCCCGCTAGTCATCAAATGTCCATGCACCCGAATCAATTAAATTTTGGACATTTCGCTTTAATGTCCCACAATTCTCAGTAGTGTGTCCCGAGCTTCCTATGTGGTAGTATCATATGACGTCAACGTAATAGCCTTCAGGAAACGGGTTTTTTTTAATTGAACTAGAGTCACAAGATTCTTCTCAACAAGCGTTGGGAGCAATTTCTTTTACACTTATTTGTTATGCTAATGCCGATTGGGCTACTTCAGTTGAAGATCGTCGTTCCAAAACGGGATATTGTGTGTATCTTGGTGAAAATCTAATTACCTAGTGCCCTAAGAAACAGTCTGTGGTGTCTCGTTCCACCTCGGAGGCTGAGTATAGAAGCCTAACTAACTCAGATGCTGAATTAATATGGGATGAACAACTCTTAGTTGAAATTGGAGTAGTTGTTCATGGAAAACCAATTGTATGGTGCGATAATACTTCGACAGTGTCTATGACTGCTAACCCAACTCATCATGCTTGAATTAAACATGTTGAGATTGATTTACATTTTGTTCGAAAAAGGGTTCTTGGTGGCAAACTTGTTAATTTTCTTCCTTCTGCTGAATAAGTGGCTGGTTTGTTGACTAAGCCAATACCTCCTACTGTATATGCTTTTATGAGAGACAGACTTAGAGTAGTGGCTCCTGAGAAATGTTTTGAGGGAGTAAAGGAAGACGAAAACGAGAAGAATGATAGAGTATAGTATAAATATGTTTTATGCTGGGTAGTTGTGCCAAGCTGGCAGGTTATTACTAATCTGTTAGTTAAGCCAGGATAGGAGGTTAGCCCGTTTGTTGGTCGTAAATGAATTGTATAAATATGTGATAAGTGGGCCTTTTGAGGTTAAGTAATAATAATCAGATTATATTTCCCAAAACTCAACTAATCCTTTCTCTTTTAGTCAAAATCCCTAGAGTTTAGTTTACTTCTTCTCTTCAGCCTTTGTTGCTCAATTATGACCATCCATGACTGTGCATGATAGTATCTTTCACTCTTCATTTCTATCTTTTATATTGATTTTGATGTTGATTTTGGTAGAGAAGACAATAGCGACAGGTTAATCGATGTGAGCTTCAGTTTAAGTGGTTAAAGTTTTCAAATTCTGACACCTCAATTCGAATTTTCTAGCTCCATTTCTTGATTGAGGTGAAGTTCAAGTGATGGTAGTGATGGAGGGGAGTGGTTCAATGGGTGATGTTATGTTCACGGACAAACACATGATTTTATGTTGGAGGGTGAATTTATAAAATTTTAAGAAGAACGAATTTATAAGACTTTAGAGGAACGAAAATAGATTTTTGTGTAAACTAATTTAGTTCCCACTGCATATTCCAAAGTTCAGTTTGATAGCTTGGATGGCTATGCTAAACAGGTTGCCTACTAGAGATCGACTTCTTAGAATGGGAATATGCACAGAAGATCTTTGTGTAAACTGCATCAATTCTCAAGAGACAAGGGATCATATATTCTCGCAATGTCCTCTGGCAGTAGGACTCTGGAATGCTATTTTGAATCTTAATGGGATGAAGTCTTCAATCCAGACATGGGATGAAATGGTTTCAAGGGCAAGTTCTTTATGGAAAGGGCGGTCCCTTCTTACCACCATCTTGAAAATCTCTTGGACAGCTTTAATTTACTTATTGTGGCAGGAAAGAAATCAACGAATGTTTCAAGGCCGTTTTAGAACGGTTGAATGCTTGTTTAAAGAAGTTAAAGACCATGTTGGAATTCGACTTAGAGGAACTAATATTAATAGGCTTGATAGTATTAACTTAAAGCTTTGTAATGTTTGGGATATAATCTAACCAATCTTGTATAGGATGCTCTTTAATTTTGTGATGTACGATTGGTTGATTGGTTGTATCTGAACTTCTTTGGGTAATAAAATCAAAATTATCCAAAAAAAAAAAAATAGATTTTCAACAAATAATAAAAAAAATATTTAAAATATATAAGAATATGAATTTTTTTAAAAGCGACTGTGAACAAGCTTCCATTGACTAACTGATTGAAAGAAATTATTATAGAAAGGAAAGTGATTGAGCAAAACTGATAAGAAAAAATGAGGAAGAAACCAAGCAAAATTTCCAAATCTAGGGAAAAAGTGCAGAACTCTTTCTTCTCAATTTTCTTCGTTTGTGCCCTACTGGACAGCTAAAATATGGGCATTTGAAATCATTTTGAAAAGTAATAAACACCCAAAAAAAACTAATAAAAAACTCTATTCTTTTATATACGGATTAAACTTCCAATTTTTTTAGTTCAACAAATTGATTAATAAGGTAGAAAAGAGTAAAGTGGTTCTGAACAGAGGCTTGGATCAGAACACTGAGTTGCTTGTCGATGTTTCATTTAACATACCGACGGGAGGTATTCTCCTAACGGAGAGTCTTGGCTTCCTTTGCAGCTTCATGAAGACGAGTGAGGCAAAGATTGTGGCGATTTTTGCACGAGGATGGCAGAGTGCAAAGACAGGGCGGCGACAATAGAGGATGATCTGGTGGGGGGGGGGGAAGTAAACTCCATGGCTTAGGTGATCTCTCAGTTGTTTGATCGCGTTAGCATTTTAAAAAACATATGGTGGACATTCCAGGCTGAGCTCGAGCCATACTGATACTTCTAACAAAATATCTAATTCGAATGAACACTAAAGCACAGCAAACATCAATCACGGAGGGCAAAGCATTACATATACTCCAATTTTTATAACAATTGAACTTAAAGATCAAAATTTAGTTACCTAAATGCACTTATACACTTGTGAACTTTCGACATACTCTTCTAAACACTTTTCTAAACAAAACTAATGTTAAGGCTTAAATACATTACAATTCTTTTCTAATATATCATCTTCTACAGTGACTCTAAAACATTAATGAATTGTCTCATAAACCTTTCTATTGATTTATAGAACATCTTTAATCCATGAAATTAAACACATAAAAAAGTATATATTTTTAAGATCTGACAGTTTTTAAAAAAGAATAAACTGAAATCTTATCTAATCCATGAATTTTGTTAAAAAATGCTATGTCGCACGTATACGACAACTTAGTGCCGGACTAAGTATTCGATACGTCCCTAACATAGGTACAAGACGGGTACTATTTGGATACATATAGGGGACATTTCATGTTTAAAGGGGACAGTTGACGTTAATTGAGTATTCCGAAAAATTTTCGAGAACGTGTAAAAGATAATATTTGATCTTTACACTCGTACCTAGGATTATATGAATTAGGATATAATTTTATTTTTTAATTAAGATTTAATTTCTCTTACAAATAAGTATTCTTCGGATCCAAAAAGTTGATAGACTAACTTTGGTGTCGAAAATTCATTGCTCTAATTTGTTAAAGAAATTACAATACTTATTCTTTCATCCATTCTAATTTCCGTTTTTATAAAAAATTATAGTCACTATTGCAAGGATACCTCGTACCCTATAATTTTAGAAATTATTGTTTCTCATCCCCATACCTGTTTCAATGCAACATACAAAAAAATGTATAAATTTTATCAATCTTCTTTTTACTTTTGGAAAACATATGATAACTTTTATTTAATAATCAAAATCAGTGACGTCGTCCCTTAAAAGTTCACGGATAAAATCTGGACAGTTGTAACCGAAAGTGAACGGTTCATTACAGTCGAAGCCGAAAGAAGCTAAAGCATGGGCAACTCTATTGCCCAACCTATGAACGTAGCAAACTCCCACATCCTCAAAGGAATTCATCAACTGTTTCGCCTCTTCAAGAACTAAGCCCAGCATGGAGAACTCTGGTAATTTGCTTTTCAATCTGTTAACCACCGCGAGTGCATCACATTCTATAATGATTTTCGTGAACCCTTTCGAACTAGCAAACTGTAAGGCATGGATCACGGCTTGTGCTTCAACAAACTCGGCCGAGTGGGCTTCTCGAACGAAATGTGCTCCCCCACCCAACACGAAACCATCATCATCACGAACAACAAAGCCAACAGCCCCACAACGATCCTCGATCCGGAATGCACCATCCACGTTGAACTTCAACAGCGGAATACTTGGAGCGCACCAACGCACAACTTTCGGCCCCAAGGGGAGGATAGGTCTTCTTGTATAATTGTGAACTTGGTATTCCTCTTGAAGATCATTGCTCGCCATTTCGAAAGCCACCGGTGGTTGAATGGATTTTCCCTACATTAACCAAAGCATTACGAACATTCTAAAGTTCCCAAAGTAAAATGATAGAGAGTGAGGGGTCGTACGTACCTTTTCATCGGAGAACAATGGTGTTTGGGGTTGGGACTCTACATGCTCAAATATCTCCATCTTTCCACAGCAATACGTACTCAACTTTTTTAACACAGGCCATACTATTCTATGCGTTCCTGGATAGAAACATACGAGGTTTGGCAGATTCCAAAGCCCAATAAAGGATAATTGATTAAATTGAAACCAGATTTCGCGTTCTTCTCCTTCAGCCTTCTTTGAAACAATCTCCTCCACCCCACAGCTATCAACCCGTAGACTTTCAAGTAGCCGAAGATCTTTGGCTACTGAAAAAGGAAACAGAGTTTTCAAACTCCAACACTCCCAAACAAATGCTTTTCGTAGATTTCCAAAAGAAATACTTCCGTTGGGATCTTTGTTCCAGACATGCTTCAACTTTGGCAAGCAAATGAGATTCACTTCTCTTAATTGACTGCCAACCACATTTGTTTCTTCAATATTTGAACCATGGACTTGGAGTTGGAACACTTCTTCTAGTGAAGCACAATCAGTTATTGTTAGTATTTCCAACCTTTGAAATACTTGCGGCACAAGAAATGGAAAAATGTTCGACAACGCGTCGCAGCACTCAACTGTCAACTCTTTTAGCTTTGGAAAAGAATCGGGATGAAGTTGATTATACCATATCCTCTTCACATTTCTCAAATGAGAAACAGAAATTTTCTCCAGGTTTGGGAAAGCAACCTACATAACAATCCAAAGAGCTAATTAAAATAGCTGTTGAATAAAATTAGTAAATTTATAGAGCCATTTTAGAAATTAAGTTATATAAAATGTTAGCTCATTACATTTATATGAAGACACCAGTAAATCACATTTACTAAGATAATTGTCATCGTTGTTGATAGCGAAGTGTCTAAATATGTAAATATTTTTTCAGGGGAAAAAAGCAAACCTTGTCAGAGAAAAATGTAGCAACATTATCAGCTTCATCACCAATTATTGCTTCTTCACACCTATTTTTGGAAAATGTAGACGCAAAGGTAGCCATGTTTGGACAGTCGGCTACCGTAATTTCTTTCAAGGATGGACATTCAAGAGTTGCACTTCCCAGGTAAAAGCTATTCATGTGCGAACATGCCTCCATACGAATGGACTGTAAACGAGGGAATATGCTAATGATTTTATTACCATCTGTTATTGCCGCTTCCTCAACCACTGAAATCGAACCCTCGTCTTTAACGACTTGTTCCATATTACGGCATCTCTTGATTTCTATTTGTTGGAGTCGTCTAAAGCTCAAGGTCATAGAGAGGTCAAAAATGCATCTCAAGTTGTTGGAATCACAGACCTCCAGAAATCTAAGATTTCTTAAATCCAACATTTCTTGCGCATTTCTGCTCCATATGTCTATTAGCTCCGGAAATTCTGAGAACTTCAAAGCCTTCAGGCCACGATATTCGACCTGAGTAACAATACATCAAAAAGTTAAACTTTGGTACCAAAATATTTAACAGGAGCCCAACAAGACTGTTGAAAATAGATTATGCAAAAGATCATTAAATGTATATATTCTTCAGTATATTTTCAATCATTACCGGTTTTTTGTATAACTGCTCCAAAGTGGCATTCTGGTCCCCAGCCCACCGTGCCCTAAAATCTGTTTCTGTAATTATAAAGAGCACATACCAAGAAATGAGATCTCCAGTTTGTGTTTTAGCATATAAATTCACAATTCGATGGATTTACAAGAAGCCTACTGCAAGTCTACAATGAAAACCAAATTTTAGCAATTGATCATTAAATACATATATGCATATGAACTAATTTTCAGTTCTTTGTACCTTGTGTGTGTAACTGTTCAATGGTGGCATTAAGGTCACCAGCCCAAACTCTCCTACTAAAACCTCTTCCTGTATGTTGAACCCCACGTAGCTTTGGTGTGCCTAAAGCTCCACGGAAAAAGTTCTTCAGTGAGGAACATTGACTCACTGTTACTTGATCCAGTGATGGGAACCTCAAAGTATAATTTCCAGAACAGAAACTTTTGAGGTTTTGTAAACAGTGAAGCTCCAAGCATTTCAACTCCCTGAGAACAACCTCACCACATGTTTCATCTCCATTGCTTGCAATCACTTCTCTCATTGACTCACATTCTGTTATCTTTAGTGTAACGAGCCGCTCTAAACTTTGGGCTTTCGAAGATGTAATCAGCTCTACCATCTCTTTGCAATCCCAAACATCCAAGGTTGTAAGATTTTGAAAAGACGACGAAGCAGATGATAAATTACTTAAGCTGCCACATTCATAAACTTGAAGAGTTTCAAGATTTACACAAATGTGGTCAAGGGGAGAGCCTTGCTTCCATAGATGCGTTATATTGTCAAAATATTGCAATTTTAACTCTTTAATTCTTGGCAGCAGCATTATCACGTCTCTTTCCTGACCAGCACCATCACCTTCGCAAGGAGAAAACTCTTCATAATCAAAAGAAACCATCTCAAGCATTTCCAAATTGGAAAATCTTTGGAGGAAATGAAACGGAAAAACTGCTGATTCATCGAGGTAGTCAGTAACTCGAAGACACTTTATATCAAAAAATGAGTCTATCGCAAACTGACCATCACTTATCATTGCAATGTGGTCATTAGTAAATGAAACTTCTTCCAGTTGAGGGATGATCTGAGAAGTCAACAAGCCAAAAACCAACGATACGTTTGTGATTATATAATTTTCTTTTCATTTTATAGATGATGCAAGTAAAACATAACGAAATGGTGAACGGTCATACCTGTTCAATGATGAACAGTGGTCTTGGGAGTTGGGACTCTACATGCCCAAATATCTTAATCTTCCCACACCAATACGTGCTCAACTTCTTTAATGCAGGCCATACTGTTTTATGCATTCCTGGGTAGAAACATACGAGGTTTGGTAGATTCCAAAGTTTAAGGAAAGATAACTTATTAAATTCAAAATGAATATCATGTTCTTCTCCTCCATCAATCTTTGAAACAACCTTCTCCACGCCGCAGTTATCGACAATAAGGCTTTCGAGTTGTACAAGACGTTTTGCTATTGAAAATGGAAACAGAGTTTTCAAACTCCAACACTCCCAAACATCTACTTTTCGTAGATTTTCAAAAGAAAGATTTCCACTGAGATCCTTGTTCCAGACATGCTTCAACTTTGGCAGGCGAAAGAGATTCACCTCTCTTAATTGACTGCTCGCCATATTTGTTTCTTCAATATCTAAGCCATGGACTTGGAGTTGGAACACTTCTTCTAGTGAAGCACAAGAAGTTACCGTTAGTATTTCCAGTCTTTGAAATACTTGCAGCAAAAGAAATGGAAAAATATTCAACAACCCATCGCAGTACTCAACGTTCAACTCTTTTAGCTTAGAAAAAGAACCCGCATGAAGTTGATTATTCCATATCCTCTTCACATTTCTCAAATGAGAGATTTTGATCTTCTCCAAATTGGGAAAACCAACCTACAATACATTATCCATGCAAATGATCAATGAACTATGCTTTGATTTTCACCAAATTCAACAATATAATCTTCGTAGTAAAGTACACCGGAGGTCATTGAAAACTGTAATATGCTCAAATGATCATTTTGGTCATTGAACTTTCAAAAGTTGCAAAATGATCATAAATTTTATTGGACTATTACAAAATAGTCACTGCAATGTTATAATAAATTGTAAAAGTTCAATAAATTAAATGACCATTTTGTAACTTTAGAAAGTTCAGTGATCTCTGGTGTACTTCAACCCAAAATGAAAAGAAAACTAACCTCGATGGAGAAAAATGTAGCGACATTATCGGTTTCATTACCAACGATTGTTTCATTGTCCTCGTTTCTCAAAAAAGTAGAAACAAAGGTAGTCATGTTTGGGCAGTCAGATACCATAATTTCTTTCAAGGATAGACATTCAAGAGCTGAACTTCCCAGGTAAAAGTTTGTCATATTTGAACAGAACTCCAAGACAATGGACTGTAGATGAGGAAATATGCTAATGAATTTATTACCATATGCTATTATTGCTTCCTCAGTCATTACTCTCCTTGAATCCTCTTCTTTGACGACTTGTTCCATATTACTGCATCTCTTGATTTCTAATTGCTGGAGTCGTCCTAGGCTCAGGGCCATAGAGAGGTTAAAGATGCATTTCAAGTTGTTGGAATCACAAACCTCTAAAAGTTCAAGACTTTTAAAGTCCAAAATTTCTTGAGGATTTCTACTCCATACGTCTATAAGCTCCGGGAATTCTGAGAACTTCAAATGCTTCAGGTCACGATATCCAACCTAAGTAGCAGCATATCAAAAAGTTAAACTTTCATGCCGATTGGACAAGAGCCCAACAAAGCTATGATGAAAAATAAATTATGTAAAATATAATTAAATGTACAAATTCTTCAATGAATTTTGCATCAGCACCTGTTCTTTGTATATCTGCTCCACGGTGGCATTAAGGTCCCCAGCCCAACATCCCTTAACATCAGTTTTTGTTAACTGTACTTTCTGCAGTTTTGGCATGCTCAACACTCCTTGATAAAAGGTGTTCATTTTAGGACATTTGCTCAAAATGACTCGTTCCAAGGAAGGAAACCTAAATGTATAATTCCCTGAACAGAAGCTTTTGAGGCTTGGTAAACAATGAAGCTCCAAATATTTCAACTTTTTGAAAACAATCTCATATGTTGTTTCATCCGCTTGGCTTGCAACCACTTCCCTCATCATTTCACATTCTTCTATCCTCATTGTCACGAGGCACACCAAACTTTGGGCTTTGGAGGACGTGATCAGCTCTGTCATCTTTTTGCATTTCCAGACATCTAAAGTTGTAAGATTTCGCAAACTTGAAAAATATGATCCTAAATTGATCAAGCTGTGACAATACCAAACTTCAAGGCTTTCAAGACTTGCAGAAACATGGTCCTCTTGCGTCCATACAAGTCTTTGGTTGGTAACAAAATCCAGTTTCAACTTTTTAACTTTTGGGAGCGTGGTAACCATGTCTTTGTCCGCGCCTGCATCACCTTTGTAAGGAGACAACTCTTCGAAACTGCAAGAACCCCTCACGTCAAGAGTTTCCAGATTGTAAAATCTTTGAAGGAAACAAACTGAGATAACATTCCGTACATTGAAATGTTTTCTAATGTGAAGATGTTTTATATTGCAAAACAAGTCAGCCTCAAACTGACGGTGATTTATCATCGCAATATCATCGAAGGTAAATGAAACTTGCTCCAATCGGGGGATAACCTAACAAATCAACAAGAAAGAACAATGAGATGATATATATATAAACGGATTGACTTATTTTAGGATGATCCTAAAAACATTAGTTTTCAGGCACCAACGAAATAATGTCGTGTTATACATTTTGAAAGGCATTAAATTTTATAAACTCATCTATACCCGAATCCTCTCCAATCCAATTAACTCTAATTAAAAAAATATTCAAATTTAAATTGAATGCATTAGTTATGAGAGATAGTAGATGGTTCAAGTAAAAAAGATGAACTATCTTTATGGAAAGGGTGAAGGGTCATACCTGTTCAGTGATGAACAGTGGTTTTGGGAATTGGAACTCGACATGCCCAAATATCTTAATCTTCGGACATGCATATTCCCTCAATTGCTTTAACGAAGGCCATATTGCTTTATGTGTGCCTGGATAAAAGCATTTGAGATTTGGTAGTTTCCAAAGTTTAAGGTAAGATAACTGATTAAATTCAAACCGAATTTCATGTTCTACTCCTCCATCAATCTCTGAAACAATCTCTTCCACCCCACAATTATCAACAATAAGGCTTTCAAGTTGTAGAAGACGCTTGGCTATTGAAAACGAAAATAGAGTTTTTAAACTCCAACACTTCCAAACATATACTTTTCGTAGATTTTCAAAAGAAAGAATTCCACTGAGATCCTTGTTCCAGACATGCCTCAACTTTGGCAATCGGAAGAGATTAACTTCTCTTAATTGACTGCTTACCACATTTGTTTCTTCAATATCTGAACCAGGGACTTGGAGTTGGAACACTTCTTTTAATGAAGCACAATCAGTTATTGTTAGTATTTCCAGTTTTTGAAATACTTTCCATATAAGAAATGGGAAAATATTCAACAACGCATCGCAGTACTCAACTTTCAACTCTTTCAAATTTGAAAATGAACCTGCATGAAGTTGGTTACACCATATCCTCTTCACATTTCTTAAATGAGAAATTTTGATTTTTCGCAGGTTGGGAAAAGCAACCTATAATGCAGTATTCATGCCAATGGAAACAAAGATTAGAAGTGTTAAATTAAAAGAGAGAGAGAAGGGGAAAATGTACAGCGTAGAAAAGTGTACCGTTTTATTGAACAAAACAAAATCAGTTGGGAAATCTCTGCTCATGGACTTATGGATGAATCCCTTCAATTCCGGACAGTTTTCTATCTCAATAATCTTCAAGGCTGGGAATTCAACAGTATAATCTTCATGGCAAAATCCGATGAGCTTCTCAAGACCCTTCAATTTGAGGGACTTCAATCGAGAGAAACATATTAGGAGAGCTCTGTTTCGAGATGCTTCTTTCATTGATATTATCTCCCGTATGCGCTTACATCTACTTATTTCCAAGGATTTAAGCTGCTGCAGATATTCAGCCATAGAGTCGGATAGCACGTGCTTTAAGTTGGCGCAGCCCTCAATGATCAAGCTCGTCAAATTTTGAGCTGAACAAAACGATTGGGGAATCCATATTCTTTCCATGCTAATTGAGGATAATTTCAACTTCTCCAACTTTGGGAACAACGTCTGCACACATGTACTTGTTTAATTACCAGATCAAATCTCATTAACAAAAGTGCTTTTTAATATTCAAAATCATTATTGAGAAAATAATAAGATAAATACATTAAATTTGAATCTTTTGCTTAAAATATGTTTGAAATCGGAACTTACAGAAGTGAAATATAGAGCTCAAATTTCTTAAAGACTGAAGGAGAATTACATTTAGTTTTTATAAAAAAATTAAAGAATTAAATTTAAAAAAGATGGAAATGAGACAAAAATGCAAGCATTGGGAGAAGAAAAAGAATTTATTACCTTTTGGTTGAAAAGGGTCGTTTCCTGTGGCTGTGGAGATATGGAAGTCCAACCTTTGTTTCCGGAGCAAAAACTAATGAGGTTAGGCAGACCCTTAAGTGTCAAAGACTTGAGATGAACAAATTCAATTCTGTGAACATCATCATTATCTTTAAGGATATATCGGACCATCGCACCATTTTCGATATGCAAATTCTTCAACTGTTGAAAATAATCCCTATACTCATCATGTGACAACATCTCCACACCTTCCACTTCATCTATATATAAATTCTCAGCTTTCCTCATTAAAGCTTTGATTCCATTATTAAGAAAGCTAATGCGTGTCTGTAGGTTGAGTCTTACTGTTCTGGAGTATTCACAAGCAAAGTTGCAATCCCAAACCCAATCCCAATCACTATCTTCTGCCACGAAAATAATGTATCTTTGCAACTTTTCAAAGAATAAATCTTTGGGAATAATGTTTGCATTAGGGATGTGAATTTCTAAAGCTGTTAAACAGGACAAAGCTACTAACTCGGCAAGGCTAGAATTGCTTTGTTGACTAGAGTGTCCCTCTGCTCCCCATTCAACAAAACTGTTGCGCATATACAGTTCTTCTAATCTAGACAATTTGCAGAAGACACCAAGTGGGATTCTTTTGAGTTTGGGACAATCACGTAAATCTAACCACTTTAGCTTAGTCAGTTGCCCTATTTCTTCAGGCAACGTTTTAACATCAGAACCAAAAAGGCAAAGAATTTCCAGATTCTTGAGTTCCCCGACCAAGGAAATATCTCCCAACACACAACAAAACAAGCATAATGTTCGAAGGTTTGCTAGCAAGACAATTGATGAAGGCAAGGACGGGAAACTCATGTCAGCCAAAATTAGGACTTTAAGATTTTCCATTTCCTTAAAAAAGTTTGAAGGTATTTTCACCCGAGGATACTTGCTACCCATACAAAAAAGAGTAAGTTTTGAACATTTCAACTTATCAGGAAGCTTGCTGATACTAGCATACCTCAAACTAATTTTGTTGCACTCTTTCATTGTTTCATCATCTGGCCAATCATTTAAAACATCACCGTGCTTTACAACAAATGCATGGTTGCCTTTAGAAGCAATTGACATGGCCACATCACAAATAAGATCATGCATATCAAAGTGGTGATCATTATAACTATCAATCAACAAACAAGAGGCTTTGAGATGACTCACCACTGTCAAGAGTCTGTTCCGTGTTTCTTCAATTGTGTTGACACCATGAAATAACCCCAAACCAATCGAACACATGAGCAACTCATCCAAGTAAGCATCATGATCCATTAGACTGCAAAGCAAGAAAGTCTGTTTATGTTCTTCGGTTGGTAAACGATCATAGCTCAATTCTATAGTTGAATATGCATCTCGTGGTACTCCGCTGAAGTTGCTTGACGATGGCCTGTTTAGTTGGCGCAAAGCATCCACCCATTCAAACAAAGGCTCATCTCTCAAAGACATTGCAAGTGTTCTAATGGCAATTGGTAGACCACCACATTTTTTAGCCACCTCTGTTGCTATAGGTGACAAATCACGACTTTCGACACCATCCCCTGCCGTCTTCTTGAAGAAAGCCCAAGCTTCTTCGTCCTCTAAAACTCCGATAGCAAAGCTTTTTTTAGCATCCATACCCTTGGACAGAACACGAAGATTTCTGGACGTCAGCAGTATGGTGCATCCCTGATGCTCATCTCCCAAAGGAATGCCAACTTCCATCAGGTCCAATCTTTCCCAAATATCATCTAAAACAACAAGAATCTTCTTCTCTTTCTTCAACCTCAGGCACAATCGACTTGCTCTTCCACTCACACTCTGCTCCTCAAATTTCAATCTCAACATATCTGCAATCTGATCTTGGATTTTCTGGATGTCAGGGGTATGAGTCAAAACAGCAAAAACCACCGAGTCGAATACCTTATCCTCTTTGACTTGTCTCATAACTTCTTTAACAAGCATGGTCTTGCCAACACCAGGCATTCCGTGCACCCCTACAATGTTGACATTAGGATCTTTCACCGCCTCCATGACGTAGTTAAACGACTGCTTTCTTGAATCAAAGTCCTCAAAATCTCTGGGAGGTAAATCCACAATGGGCCGTGGGACACCAGGATATGATACTCTGTCAAATCCACCTGGCCGCAGGAGTTCATCAACTGCACTGGCTTCTTCTATAGCTTTCTTGCAAAGCTGATAGCGAGCCTTGAAATTAGGGCACAAGTTGACGAAACACTTGTTGTTTGCTTCGTCTTCAAGACCCTTAACTTCATCATACTTCGAATTGATAACATTGTCTGCTTTAATCAGCCAACTCTTGACGTCGGGGTATATACAGTCGCCGTTCTTTTCGGCAGCATCAATGTCCAGCAGCACTCTGTCTCTTTTTCCTTTCAACGTCTCGACTTTATTCTCGTAATCCGAAACCGTTTCTCTATAGTTTCGTACATAGGTGAAGCAGCCTTTGATTTTTCGGAACAAGAATCCGGCAACACCAGTGAGAACGTTGCTAGCGCTTCCCGTAGTAATATCCATTTTTATATGGGGGTTCAAAAGTCAAGCAAAGCGTAAGTGATGGGATAGTAACGGAGACAATAGGGAAGCAGATTCAAACAATAAGGAAGTAAGGTTAATGAGACCAGGTTTTGACAGATTCCAAGCTCTCAACAAAAACAACGTTAGGGAAGACAGAGTAAAGTAATCGAACGAGTTTATTTTGAGTATTAAGGGAAACTGATTAAACGTAGCTAAGATGGGAAAATAGATGTGAAAACATTTGTGGATTTTGATTAGGCAATGGAGGGATATATGAATGCGAATACCTGAGATGTATTTAGCAAAGATGATGCAATAAAATTACCAGGAAACTGCAATAATATTCCAAATGACTTTGATATAAAGTAAAAGTCATTGGAGTAAGAAATTTACCACGAAACAGCAATAATGTCGTTGCAATAATATCGTTCCATTGTCTTATGGCGCAAAGATCCGTCGAAACGTTCGTGGAAATTCCGGGACCTATTTAAAATGATTGAAAAAACCATTAAAGATATTGGAGATATCACTATCGACATTTCCGGGAAAGTGGATGGAATTGCTGATGCGGCGGTTCCCTTTTAGTTTGTCAAAAGAAAGGATTGAAAGTTGAAACCAAGTATTTTCTTTAGCAAAAATCAGTATGAACGCTGCAATGGAATCCAAGGACAAGCTTTAGAAGTCAAGGAGAAGCTTTTAAGGAGGGCGCCAACCAAAAAAAAAGATATGAAAAAGAGAAAGAGGGAGGGAAAAAGGAAGGCAAACAGGGTAAGTGGGTATTTATAAAGATCTGTAAATTTAGTGGGAAATTCTTTGGTTTAATAATAAAAAAGTACTTAAACTATGTCCTTTTTTTCGTTTAGGTGTCTAATTTTTTTTATTAAAATATGTACTTAATGTTTTTAATGTTATCATTTTAGACCGTTAAAAAATCCCGTCAATCACTTAAAATGTGACGCGTAGTATGTTTATAAATTTTCAAAAATTTTATTTAAAGAAACTTAATTTTTTTCAAAAGAAGTTATAAAATTTCTCTAAAATCTCATAAAAATCCCAAAATCATTAATTCAAAATCAACTTCGTCTTCGGCCGTCCCTCGTTGTTGTTTGCCGATTATCCTCTTGCCGTATCCTTAATCCCAAATTTTTAAAATCTCAATACTTATATCTCTAAATCCAATTGGATTACAATTTCAAGTCTTACTAGTGGTAGGGTGCGTGAGGGCTACAGATTGTGGTCGGTGAGTGAGCAAGTCATCATCGACGAGTGAATAGGTGATTACCGATGATAATGGTGGTCGACGACGAAATTGATTTTGGGATTAAGGATTTTAAGTATATTTTGGAATTTTATGAAATTTTAGGTATTTTTCTGAAAAATAGGAAAATTTTGGATTTTTAAATTTATGAATTTTATTTTTTTAAAAAATTAAAGGAAGTAAAAAAATTTGACCACATGCCAACCACTGATTGTTTGATTGACTTTTAATGATTTTTCTTTTACTGATTGTGATAAACTAGACATTTAAAATGATAACGTCGAAAATTTTAGGAACTTACTTTGATTGAAAAAAAGTTTAGGCACCTAAACAAAAAAATATGTAAAGTTTAGACATTTTTTTATAATTAAGGCAAATTCTTTCAATATGTTCTCCGTCATTCTTATAAGGGCTATTGGAATGACATTTTTATTAAGACTCGACGGTTTCGATATGATCCTATTGGATTAATTTTTTAAAAATATAAAGTTCAAATTTGATCGATTCTATTGAAAGGTATTGAGTTTGGGTTTAGGGTGAAAAAAGTTTGACTCGATCTAACTCGATATAATATGGTAATTATATTTATATATTTAGAGATAATTATAATAATATCTCTTTCTATATTAACTTTTTTTTTTCAAATAAATATTTATTTTATTTAATAACAAATGTAAATATAAATATATTTAGATCAGGTCGTGTGTGGTTTTGACCTAAAGTTTTCAGTCGGGTACCCTCTTAAATTCGGATCAGATCAAATACAAGTAAATTGTTTTAAAATATAGTTGGGTCTTGATTCTCAATGAGTATGAGCTTAAAATGTACATTTAATATATGATATTGTTAATATTTTCAGCTAATTTGATTAATAAATCGATTTCAAACTGAATTAATAAATAATCGAATTTTAAATTTTTTAATTATTAACTGATTTAACAAAACCTAATTAAATTTTAATTTGACTGATTAATTCAATTAAAATTGAACAATAAACACCCTTAGGAAAACAAAATTAACAAAAAATACAAATATTAAAAATTAAATTTATCATATGTCTACCAATAATGTTAATAAGAATCAAAGGTCAGCACCAAGGTTTCAAATAGCAGTCGAATAGTGGTATTGTGGTTGTTATATCGCGGTCGCGACGGTGTCCGAAACTGCTATCGCGAAAAATATCGGTGTTAAGCGGGATAACACCAATAGCGGCAGACCGCGGTCGTAATTTAACGGATCGCGACCAATCGCAACAATAGAGGACCGCCATTATGCTATTATTCTGTTATTTTAATTAAAAAACAGGTTTTTTATTAAAAAAATCAGCTCCTTTGAAAAAGTTCACGACTGCGATATCTGTAATGACCGTAATAGCATCCGTTATATCCGCAACCGTGATAAACGCGACGCGACCGAAAACGTGACCGCAAATGATATTTAAAACCCTGTGTTGAGTTAATCGAATGACGAAATTGGCCAAGAGGGGGGTGAATTGGCAATAAAAAAAATTTGGTGGAAGCTTTTGCAGAAAATTGAAAGAAATTGCACAACGATTTAGAGTGGTTCGTCTTTCTCAACCAAAGTCTACGTCCACTACCTTAGCTATCCACACTAAGGATTTTCCACAAATTCACTAATTTGTCTTTCTTTTGAGGACAAAGAGTAACCTTACAATCCCCCAAGAATTATACCCCAAATTCTTGAGAACACTCTCTCCCAAATAGAACAATACAAATTTACAAACTTACAAGGAAATCCTCACAAGGTAGATTGTTTGCACAATTCTAGAACAAAGAAAAGAACACTCAAGAATGAATACAATTGAGCACAATAAGTGTTCTTGAAAGCAAAATGAATATTGAATGAAAAATAGGCTTGAAATGCTCAAACTTGAGGTTTGATGCTTTCTCTTTGATTCTCTCTTGATTCTAGTTGCTTGATGTTTCTTGTTGTTGATCAATGGCTTCTAAGCTTGCTTAAATACACCTTGAATCACTTCTGAACATTGGGGATGATTAGAGAAGATATTATAGCCGTTTTAGTGTGAAAACATTTAATAAAACAACTTGGAGCGTGGGGGGAATCGGTACCCCCTATGGGGAATCGGTTCCCTAAGTGTAAAATTCAAATATTTCGACTGTTATACAAGGGGGGAATCGGTACCCCCTTGGGGGGAATCGGTTCCCTCCGAGCATACTGGAATTCTCGGAGCCAAACCATTCAGGGGGGAATCGGTTCCCTCAGAGCATACTGGAATTCTCGGAGCCAAACCATTCAGGGGGGAATCGGTACCCCCTATGGGGGGGATCGGTTCCCTCTGAGCAATATGGAATTTTTAGTTTTGAAATGGTTCGAAATACTTTGTAAAATTATTTTGAAATTGTTTTATGATTAAAACTTAATTTTACACTTAAGTAAGGATTAAAAATGATTTTTGAAATATTTGGAGTAATGTTTTGATATTTGAATAGTTATATCGAATATACTTAGAAAATCATTTGGAAAATCTTAAAATTCATTTAACTTAATTTGTTATATCGAAATATCAAAATGTTTCAACAATCTCCCCCTTTTTGATATAACAAAACATTTTAGTAATTTTAAGATTTTGAAATCAAGTTTTGAAATTACTCCCCCTTACTTTAACACTTCTCCCATTTATCATTTAAAAACACATTTAACACTTTTCCCCCTTTTTGTTAAATCAAAAAGACATTTTAAAGAATGTAAACAAGGTTTTGAAATCATTTAGCCAGTTGATTATATATATAATTTAAGATGCTAAGATCACAAGCAAGAGAAACGTTAGCCATTAGTTTCATAATCAATATTCATATTTAATGTGATATGGCAAAATTGGTCATATATCTATCATGAAGTAAATGATGCAATAATCAAACCAAATATATAAGTTCATACCAACCATAAATCCTAACAAATTCAAAAATCAATCAATCCACAAATTAAACATTCCAAAATATTCAAAATGTTAAAACAGTAAGTTTGAAGTTTAAAGCAAAACATAGAATCAAACATCCGTAGGAGGATCTGGAGGAGGAAAATGAGCTCGCATAGCGGCCATCTCTTGTGAGAGTGCATCAATACGTTCATTCATCGAAGCGTTGTTTGTGCGCATCTCTCAAAGAATTTCTAATTGTTGAGATCCCATTGCGGATAAATGAAACTCTATAGAAGTAAAGCGCGAATCCATGATCGCATATCGGAAATCAAATGTCTCCATAAAAGATTGAAAATATGGAGGCATTTGATGCGTTTGTTGTGCTTGCTCATCGGGCTACTACTCGGGCTGATCAGGCTCATCTTCGGCTTCATCGATGTCTCGCATTAATTGCTCAAGCTCGGGATCTTCGTCAGTTTCAGGTAGAGCTTGTGAAGAACTAGCTCCCGGAGTATGTGCAGAAGATCGAACCCATTCACCGGTTTTCTTGTTCTTTATCCATCCTGCTCTGGTTAAGGAAAGAAGATTGATTTGTTTCTTAAGGGGAAAACGGCATCTAGAGCGACTCTAAGCCTAGCTTTGGAAAACAGATTACTCAAAAAGCAACCGTAAACTAGAGATGAATAGAGTTTCTTGTTAGGAATAAGATTTACGGTTTCAACAATTTCAGCAAAAATAATCTGAGGTATGTTAATTTTAATACGGTTTTCGAAACAATGTAACCACCAAAGATCCAAGGCTCTAAGAGTAGAATAACGACCTCCGGATGGTCGAAACCACCAAGAAATCATTAGATGAAGAAAACGTTCATGTAGGTCTAAGACACTCGTACTATCTCTTATTTTATAACGAGAACCTAAAACTT